CCTCCCTCCTCCTTTCTCCTCCTCCTCCTCCTCCACCTCGTCCTCCCCGTCCTCCTCCTCCTCCTCCTCCTCCTCCTCCTCCTCCTCCTCCTCCTCCTCCTCCGCCTCCGCCTCCGCCTCCGCCTCCTCCTCCACCTCGTCCTCCCCCTCCTCCCCGTCCTCACGCTGTGAATACTCATGTTTCTTGCATGGTCCCGGCGGCGGAGCGCCTAGCCGAGTCGCTGCGGCGCAAGGATGTGCAGTGCCCGCGTTGTGCTCGAGCTCATTCCCGCTGCGCCCCTCGCCTCCTGCCCTGGACTCTCACGACTTACCGCTTCTGCGAACCTACTCACGGATCCTCCTCTTCCTCCTCCTCCCTCCCTCCCTCTCTCCCTCCCTCCTCCCTCCTCCTCCCTCCTCCCTCCTTCCTCCACCGATGTGCGATGTGAAGTCATTCCGCCCGAACGGCCGAGCCGCGTCAAGCGCCCAGGGCCCTTCGTCCAGAAGAGGGGGAGGAGCGGCAGCAGCTAGGGGGAGGAGGAGGCAGAGGGGGGACGAGGAGGAGACCTGAGAACGCGAACGAAGAGCAGGGGGACGCAAGCGCCACTTCCACATCCCGCATCCTCTCCTCTGGCTGCTGCTCCTTTTTCCCCCCTTCCGTCCCATCCCCCTCCTCCTCCTCCTCCTCCTCCTCCTCGTCCCCCTCCTTCGGAGGGGCGGGCGAGCGGGCGCGCCCATCGGGTATCTGGCGATGTGGCGTGGCGAGGATGATGATGACGGCGCCCCTGCTCGCGACTGTGCGGGCGATGCCAACGATAACGATGATGCAAAACAATCGGCTTTGTTACATTGGCGCTCTTGCCCGCTTGAACTTTACGTTCACAGCCCGCGGTCCCCCTCGGTCAGGGAGTGGGGCGGGGGATTGGGGCCTGGGGATGGAGGACGGAGCCCGCGACCCCGGCATAACCGCCGAGGGAGAAGGGAGGAGGGAGACGGAGGAGGCGGGAGGAGGGGAAGGAGGGCAGGAGGAGGAGGAGGAGGACGTGGAGGAGGAGGAGGAGGAAGAGGAGAAGAACGACGAGCTCCTCTTCCTCCCCCTCCTCCACCTCATCCTTCCCCTCCTCCTCCTCCTCCTCCTCCTCCTCCTCCTTCTCCCCATCCTCCTTCGGACCCTCACCACCACTGCTTGCGCACTTCCTTGAGCGCAACTTTCTGCACGTCGGGAGCGTACTTTCTCGCGCTCTGCATCTGCGTGTTCAGCTTCGTTCGCACCTCCATAAAGATGTCAGAAGCACATCGACTGTATAGCACATACAGAGAAGACGACGGTCATGAAAGTGGGATACAGTGAGAAATAACAGAAAGTAAAGCGGGGAGCAGGGCCTTAATGACTGGCCGTAATGGCATCCAGAAGCGAGAGAGAGCGTGGGAGCAAGTGAGGGAGGGGGAGAGAGAGAGAGAGAGAGAGAAAAAAAAAAAAGGGGGGATACTGACAGAGAGATGGAGAGAAATTGAAAAGAGGCATAGGAAACCATTTAAACAATCGCCATTCAACAAAAACATACATACATACATACATGCATACATACGTACATGCATGCATGCATGCATGCATGCATACATACATGCATGCATGCATACATACATACATACATACATACATAAACATACATAAACATACATAAACATACATATACATGCATGTGCATACATTCATATACATACATATATATACATATACATACATATACATACATATACATACCTATACATACATATACATACCTATACATACATATACATACATATACATACATATACATACATATACATACAGACATACAAACATACATACATACATACATGCGTGCATACATACATACATACATACATACATACATACATGCAGGCATGCATACATACATACATACATACATACACACACATGCACACATACATACAGGCAGGCAGGCAGACATACATGCATGCATGCATGCATGCGTTCATGCATACACAGAGATATACATACAGACATACATACATACATGCATGCATACGTACATACATACATACATACATACAGACAGACAGACAGACAGACATACATGCATACATAAATAAATACATACATACATGCATGCATGCATGCATACCTTAGATACATACATACTTACTTACTTATTTACTTCACAGAAGACTGCGTTGGCGCTTCGCGCCATGCACCTTGGTCCTTCAAGCTTCGCATGTGGTGGCACTTGGCGTCATCCTCTTTGGCCTTTGAAATTTGGCCGTTTCTTTTCAAGTTGCTCCTGCCCTCGATTCACATGTTCGTGCGCCACGCAGATGTTTCTTGGGGTGGCTGAATCGAACTTCGAGGTGGGCGACGAGAACGCCACCTGGAGTCTCCGAAAATACAATGAACCAAAATCGCGTGCCTTCTTCGCTGGATCCTGCGCTGGCAGGTGTCGTCACGGCCTGAGCATTGACTTTTGAAACCGCTTGGATCGTTCAGCCGTGAATGATCGCGCATTCCCGTTCGAAACTGGCCGATTCCTGACCACTGGCCACGTTCATTCCGAACGCCCGCGCCGGTGTCCCTGCCGCGTCTACACGGCGTAAACCTACCATTATGGAGGAAAAGTTGCGTCCTGAGGGTTGTTTTCTCTCTTCCGGGATCTGCTTTGCAGGCCCTCCAGGTTGCAGCGGCTCCTCGAGGCCGACGTCGAACCAAAACCTCCGAAGACTGCAGAAGCTCCAAGAAGCCTGGCGACTTCCAGCGGCTCCCAACGGCGATCGTAGTTCCCGAAGACTGGCGTGTTGAACTCTGGCAGTGACAGTTCTACAGCTCAAACTATGTGATGTGAGCGATGTTGTGGCAACCACCTGGTGTGAGCTATTCGGTGAAAGCTATTCGGTGTTAGCTGTTAAGTGGTGACTATGTTGTGTAAACTATGTAATGCGGGCGATGTGGTGGTATCTACCCGATGTAACTTAAATGGTGCAGGAGTGGTGGAATCAACAATATATTGGGAACAGCGATGTGGAAGGCGAAGAGAAACGAAGAGAAACAAAAAAAAACAATAATAATATATATATATATATATATATATATATATATTCCACGAAAACAAAAAAAACAAAAAAAAAAAAAAAAAAAAAAAAAAAAAAAAAAAAAAAAACGATGTAAGCTATATGGCGTGGGGCTCACAAGCGCCCACAATGCGGCATGGGCGGGCTCGTGGCGAAGCATCGGCCGACCCACACCCACTCAAGTTCTGAACACCCGAGCAATGAACCCTAGTACAAGCACCGTCTGGGGAACCTGCAGGAACCCTAGTGCCAGGTGATGGGAAGCAACGCCTTATCGTTATACATCGTTCCTCTCATTCATCCTCGCTCTCGCCTGGCGTTGTGAACCATTCCCCGTCTGCCTGGAGGCTGCTCGTTGGAGAACCTCTTGGGGGCCTCACGAATGCCTCTAAAGGGCTTTGGGGACCACTGGAGGCCTCCTGGGCGCCTCTGGGCCGTCTTGGGGGTCCTTTGAAGCTCGTTTGGGCCGTCTTGGGTCCCTATTGGGCTTTGCTGGGGCCTTCTTGGGGAATTTAGGCCGTCTACGGGCCTTCTTGGGGCCATCGTGGGCCCTCCTGGGGACCTCCCATGGCCCTTGTGGTTCTCTCTTGGTAGTCTTTGTGGGCCTCGTAAGCTTCTTTTGAGCCTTCTTGCGGCAGTCTTGGGGCCCTCGTGGGCGCTGTCTTGGGGCGATCTCGGAGGCCTCTTCGGCCGTCGTGAACGCTGCTACGACACAAAAAAGCAAATATGCTGGAAATGCACGGTTTCCCAAGGGAATGGTAAGATGTTTGCCTCTTGGGGGCCCTCCTGAAGGCCTCTTGAGGCGTCTTGGCGGGTCTTGCGCTATCTTGGGGCTCTCCTGCGCCTCTTCGACCATTTTTCTGATCGCTGTGGGTTTGCTGGGCAAGGCCAGACAAGGCGCCCTGAAGGCGCGGCAGGGCTGGGGGACCTCTTCCGACCGCGGGGCCACGAATCGCGTGAAGGGAGCGCCGAAATGGGACGGGGCCGCCATGCGGGTGCTGCCGCTGGGGCCGCCCGCAGGGGGCGCGGAGGTGAGACGAAACAGTTTACATGCTGATTCAATCCGTTGCAGCTGACAGGCACCGGGAGAAGCGGGAGAAGACATGCGGGCGCAGCCGCTGGGACCTGAGGTGAAGCTCCCTATGGGGCCACGAAACCTGTGAGGGGTGTGCCAAAAAGATGGGGGTGGCGGCATGCCAACACAGCCACTGGGGCCTTCGGTGGAGCTCCCTATGGGGCCACGAAACGCGTGAGGGATGTGCCAGAGTGAGGGGGCTGGCGGCATGCGGGCGCAGCCAACGGGGCTTTCGGTGGAGCTCCCGATGGGGCCAAGACAAGTGTGAGGGGTGTGCTATGATGATGCTGCTGCTAATGATGGTGATGATGTTGATGATGATGATGAGGAGGAGGAGGAGGAGGAGGATGACGAAGAAGATGAGGATTGTGATGATGATGATGATGGTGATAATGTTGATGGTTATGGTGCTGGTAATGGTGATGGTGATGGTGATGGTGATGGTGATGGTGATGGTGATGGTGATGGTGATGGTGATGGTGATGGTGATGGTGAATGGCTACTATTAGCATGTGTCCTATTAGTATCATTAGTATTAACAGTAGTAGTAGTAGTTGTAGTAGTAGTAGTAGTAGTAGTAGTAGTAGTAGTAGTAGTAGTAGTAGTAGTAGTAGTAGTCGTAGTCGTAGTAGTAGTAGTAGTAGTAGTAGTAGTCGTAGTAGTAGTAGTAGTAGTAGTAGTAGTAGTAGTAGCAGCAGTAGTAGTAGTAGTAGTAGTAGTAGTAGTAGTAGTAGTAGTAGTAATACTAGTAATCATGATAATGAAAATACTAGAAGTAGTAGCAGTAGTGGAAGTAGTAGTAGCGGTAGTAGTACTAGTAGTAGTGGTAATAGTATGATGATCATAATGGTTAAAA